CAATACTCTCCGACTCCGGGAACAAAACACGACCAGAGGAACAACATCTGTGCTGTTTCAAGGCTTTTAATCAAAGTTTGAATAATACTCGATGAAACGTTGTTGAAGTACATGAAAAGGAATCAGGTGGACCCTCAAAGAAGAAATGTGTCTACAGCTTATACAAGACATGTGACTGCGATGTGGCCACATGTGAGGACATCATTTCTGGAAATAGATCAGAACTCAACACTACAGGTAACTGCATCATGTTTAACTTGAATTAGTAATGTAGCATATGAGATTGATTAAAGGTGGGGTAGGTAAGTTTGAGAAACCGGCTCGAGATCGCTAGAATTTGAAAATACACAACCGGAGAAAATGATTGGTCGTACTTTTTACAGTATTACGGCTTCCACAGATGACATTTTTTTATGGATTTTTTGTCAAAGCACTTAAGATATTCATTGCTATCGGGATGTTAAGAGCATCCCATGGAATATAACAAAAAGTGTATCTCGAGCCGGTTTCTCAAACGTACCTACCCCACCTTTAAGGTCAAGTAATGGTCCATAACATAATCACTTAGAAATTGCTCTTAATTTCACAAATGTTAATGTTCATTATCTTCTTTTTTCCCCACATTGTGTCAGCAGACTTCATGTTGAATCAGCAGCAGAAGAACAATACCATCATCTCTCTGTTAGGTGCTGCTTTGGCTATATGTGTGATTGTTAATGCCTTTCTCATTTATGCAATCAAGAAACTGAAGGGGAAATCCTGTGGTGTTTGCAACAGTAAGTACATTCACTGATACAAATATATATCAAACATATTTGGCAAAAGTAGCTTCACATGAATCTTTTATTTTTATATAATACAGCTGCTGTTACTCTGCATACAAATGAAACAACAGCGGGTCAAAATCAGCGAGGTCAGCAGGTAGAGTAAAAGACAAGCCTGTAAAGTTGTTAGCATAGTTTTTCCTCTAAAAATGTTGTCTCATAACATTTCCCTATATTTTCACAGACAGATGATGACTCGTTGATTTATTCTGCACCAACCTTCATCAGAAGGAAATCTAGCAAAGGGACTGGGGGTGCAAAAGCAATGAAAGAAGAGTGTATCTACACTGATGCCCGGGCTCTTAGGTTGGCTTGATGGTGTAATACTGGATTTGCTAATCTTTGCAGATGCAATATTTATTTTCATTCTGTTCAAGAAAGGTACTAGCCCCTAATGTCATTAATCCAATTAATATATTGGATTGTACTGTGTGTATATGTTTTGCACACATGAGTAATCTTCATGACACAAAAGTAATATAAAAGCTACTGTAAGCTTGTGTAGATAGACATACTGTATACTGTAGGGATACATATTTGTTTCATTGTGAGTTATCAAAGTTGTGAACAACAACTTGCATCATACAGTTTCAAGTCATACATTTACATTTTCCAAATCTGTGTACTGTCTGTGTCAATGCTATGTAAAGATAATTGTGTGTTGCTTTTTTCCTAATAAATAATTGAATTTTCACAAGAGATACCAAACTGATAAGCAATTGAACCTGCTGCTCTGCTCACACATACAGATACAGCTCAGATTTATGAACATACTGCACATGTTTAACCACCCCCCACCCCCCCTTAGTTATTACCTAAACAAGCTCGGCATTATACTTTTGCTCACATAGGTCAACCAAACTCAGGTCAAAGTTCATTAAATGTGTACATATCTTTTTAACATCATATAGCCTACATCCATTGAACACACAAAATACCCAATAATCCAGAAGGCTTGCATAAAAACTGTTTTTCCATAGTGATGTCAATATGGGTTAAGACTAAAAAGTAAATTATATATATTTATATACCTATTTACTGCTTTACAAATTGTATGCAGTAATTCTTTTTCAGATACGCTGGTTCCAGTGACCACAGTTGAACTTGGTAATCTGCGACCGTCACCTGTGCTACGCTTAATTTTGAGAGTCAGCGTAAACAGCTCCACTACAAGCAGAGTGCAGAAAGAGCCAATACTTCATAACAGCATAATGACCCAATCAAGTGATGTTATCTTCAATTTGCGTACTTCTGTAGTTGAATTTTCAGTTTTAGTGCATCACAGCGTCCCAAAGTGTATGTGCTATGCGTACCTGAATGTTGCACTCATAACACTGTTGAACTGTGGACACATCTCTCACTGGAACACTATGCCAAAAAATTGAAACTGAGCATTTTGATTCCCTGCATTCATTTTTAAAACACGGCTGGATGAAATGTTATTAGATACCTGTCATTGTGAATAGGTTGCCTAATTTATACCCCTGTAATTATGTTGTGATGTCCTTTTTGTTTTCTGTTGTTTTTATGTGTAACCAATGTACCGCAGGTCTCCCTTGAAAAAGAGATCGTTGATCTCAATGGGATTTTTCACCTGGTTAAATAAAGGCTACAAACAAACTAATCCCTATCGGCTTACTTCAGACGCTATTGCTGTTGCTCCGGTGAACACCACATCATATAAATAAGTTAAAAGTGTTTAATGTTTCATCAAAGTTCAACATATGTTTTTATTTTTTAAAAGGTTATGCTTTGAGCTGGAAACATTAATTCAATAGAAAGGAGAATAGAGTGGTGCAGAGATGTCAGTTTTGTGGGCCGACCCAGAAGGTAGCAGGGCAAGGGATCCCTCGACAAAATAAATTGTATTTTTTCCATTTGATTTTGGAGTATTTTTGAAAATAGGATCTGTTTATGATAATTGAAAGTCCGTTCAGCAAGATAATCTTTACATAATGTATATCATTTTTTCTATTATTTTTGAGGCATAAATGCAATGAGCAGAAGTAAAAAGCTTACAATAGGTGATAAACGAACTACATTACATTCACATGGCTGGGCGTCACCACCGCTTTACTCAAGGCTCACTCGTGTTTGGCATGATGACGTTGAGTAGTCTCATTTAGTCAGTTATCATTAAAGCCGGTTTTATGACACGTAGAAGCTGCAGTCGTTCTCAAGTGCTGCATTTTCTGACATATTTTATTTAATTAATTAAGGCCTCTCACTAAAAGCCACCTGACTTTTAAGACGAGAGAACCGGAAGTGGTTAAGTACTTACTAGGGATGTAACGATACCAAAAAGTCACGGTGCGATAATATCGATATTGAAAAATAAATAAAAAAAAAAAGATTTAAAGATTTTTATTTTTTTTTAATGATTTTTAAATTTTAAACAATTTTTACCTGACATTTTTTTCTTTATTAAATAATAAATCAGATTTGTACAGCATTTTTGTAGGATAGTAGTATTTTAAAGTGTCAAAAACAAAGTGACAGTAACAGACTGGAACAAGAACTAGTACTATCAAACAAAGCAGGCATTTTCTTTGTGCCACTGCATCTCACAAATAAACAAGAGCATTTAATAATCAGACCCTGCAATAAAATAAATCAAGTTTCACTTTAGTTTTTCAAGTAACTCAAACTCAAACTCACTCACTCAGCATCATCAGACAGGTTGTTTTTTTTTAGGAATATGAGCATGTCCACATTTCCAGGTAGAAGCTGGGATGTTTGGGCGTTTACAATATCCCCTGCTGTGGAAAAAACTCTCTCGCTTGGTACTGATGTTGCTGGGACAGCAGTGGTCGCGTTTAACCGAATATTTTTTTTAACAATGACGGAAAGATCCGAAAGCAGTCTGTCATTTTGACAGATTTAGAACAAACTCGGAACAGCGCCAAAGTTTCCCCGCAGCGAGGCTCTGGTGTTTGCCTTGTTATGCATGCCCTCCAAAAGGATATTATATAGTTTCCAAACTGTACTTTGCCGTACAGATCATTGAAATGTCTGGGAGTTTTTGCTTTACGCTGTGCGCGCTCCCACGAGGTGCATGCATGTCTCGGTGGGCATGCATAACACGGAATAACACCGCCCCCGCCGTTGACAGTTCACGAGCGTGCTCTCTCTCTCTCCCCCCCCGTGTCAGCGCAACACGTTAGTTCAGACCCGACCGGTAATAATGGATTATGACGGAAATTTTACGATCCTGCCTGTCAAAAATGACTGACAGCGAAAAAGTCTAACGCCACCTCACAGGTCTCCCTTGAAAAAGAGATTGATGATCTCAATGGGATCACCTGGTTAAATAAAGGTTAAAAAAAAAAAGATTAAAACAAATAAATGAAAAATCGCGGTAGATTTTGTCAGTCTCACGACGGTATTGAGACGTTTATTTTTGTATTACTTCTGTATAGATGAACCCACTATATAGGGCACTAAAATGTTCACATCGTGAGGTGACACAGAATCTAACGACACCGACAGTACCACTGAATTATACGTATTTGCGACGTTATAAGCAAAAACGGACATCAAAACAGGTGACGCTAGGTAGCTAAAAATGCTAACATTTTTACCTTGGCTCTGTAGTCTCTCCAAAGTGGTCTTCAATGGCATTAAAACGATAAAAACGCTGCTGAAGTTAATCCATAGGTTAATCTAATGTGTCTGTGTCACTTTGAAATGATTTCTGATAATCCATAAGCATTAAAACTGCTTTTCCGTTTCCAGATGTCAAAGCTAGCTATAGGTTCACTCTGATGCAAAATTACATGCGCGAAGCCCCCACCCTTTCTCTTCACAACGTGTGTGTGTGGGGGACTCCCCCTTCGATTCTATTGGCTCTAACGGTCAGAAAGAGGTGTCAACCATCAAAATCGAGCAATGGGGGCCAGAGATATGGAAAATCCACCCAAATGACCCCAGAAGTGGTTTCTTTTTGCTAAATCTCTCTAAAAAGGTCAAATGTCACTTGTTTTGCATCAATCTTGATGCAGGGTACTTATTATATGTTGTACTTTGGATTCCTAAAGCTTTTAGTCTACCTCACCATCATCCAAGGGTAGTTTTCACTATAAGTAAAAAATAATTTTTGGACGGACACTATAATTTACAGTTTTTTACTATGTAAAATCTGAATTTTCTTTAAAATAAAAAACATCTATATTGATTATGACTTTTCTACATCCAACTCACAGGTTTATCATTACTTTGAGAAAAAAGATTATTAATTTAACCCTTTTAGAAGGGAAGATATGGTCATTTGTTCTGGGAATGTCATTTTCGAGCCTGAGACCTGAAAAACAGGCTCAGGGCTTAACAGGTTAAATGATTATTAAAGTCTACAGCATAAAATACATCAGTAAATACAAGTCTTCTGAACTTTTAAGAAGTTACGTATCTTAAAAAAGGTAGTCGCTAACAAAGCGCTAACTGAGACTCATTAAACGGCAGCATGCTGAAGTCTGCCTTTAGCAGTTAGATGAGCTTGGTGTATTTTGTGTAAAGATGTAAATAGTGGTTTTCTAGTCTTTCTAGACATGTTGACTGCTGGGCACGAAAACCACCAACCTCTGGTCAGAGGACGACCACTCTACCTCCTGAGCCACAGCCGCCTCTTTATAGCATTAGCGCTTAACTGCTGACTATTATATGTATACATTTTTAAAGTTATGATTATTTTTGAAGATTTTCTTGCTGAACAAAATTCTTAAGTTCCATACTTTTTTTTGCCTGAGAACTTTTTCTCTGTCATAGTTCAAAATCCCATTTGATTCTGGTAGAGGCAACTATTGCTATCTTCCAGCGCACAAAGACACATATCTGAATCATTCAATTGCTGGGCAACTTTTATGTACTCACTAGTACCTTAGTGGGAGCAGTATCTCAAAATAGGATGCAAGTCTATTTTCGACGCGACGCGAGGCGTTACAGAGGTGCCGGGCAGGAAGTGGAACGGTCAGAGCATCCGGCCCATCCCCCAAATAAACTAATTTTGCAGACCCTATCCCTCCGTTGTCTTTCAAGTAGGAGGAGAAATGCCACCGTTTTCCTCCGGTTTACAGGCACTGTGTAAATTATATATATAGAATAATTATGATGATGAATGCATTTTTTTACCACTAAAATACAGCAACACATCTTTGATTCATGTCGGCACGCAAGACGCTCCGCTTCTGAAATGCTTTTGAAACAAGCCCGGTAGGGTATGACGCCGGAGGACGCCGGACCAAAACCGCGGCGCAGCCGTGACGCGACGCAGATGGACCCGGTGGAATCGAGGGGTAAGGGTTAGAGTGACATCCACTGGCTGTTTAATTAAAGTGACCAAATAAACTGCTGAGTAACATAACATTCTTCACAATTAATAAAACATTTTTTAAATGTACTAACGTAGGATAACGGTACTGTACGTTTTTTATTGTTCAAGACACAGGTAGATTAATTATGCATGCTTAGAAAATGTAAAATGTTAACATTCAGTTACCTTAACAATAGCAAAAAGCCCCTGTAATTTGTAAGGATCAATTTCTTACCTAAGTTACATTTCTATATATTGCCTAAAATGTCTCTTTACACATCCTTTATACATTTAGATTAAAATAACAGTGACAAAAGAAAAGCTACCAAAGCGAAGTGGCTAAGATAATTCCATTTCCTATTACAAATGTGAGATTTACAGTTTGTTGCTTATCTATTTTACTTTTTACTATTTGTACTGTTGTGTACACACATATATCCTACATTCATTAGTTCGTTTTTCTTACTCTGAGAACATCATGTTCTTTAACTGGATATACTTTGTCTCTGGCAGCACAATGTAACCCTGTTAACCTGTTCCACTCTGAGCCTGTTTTTCAGGTCTCAGGCTCGAAAATGACATTCCCAGAACAAATGACCATATCTTCCCTTCTAAAAGGGTTAAATTAATAATCTTTTCTCAAAGTAATGATAAACCTGTGAGTTGGATGTAGAAGTGTCAGAATCAATATAAATTGTTTTTTATTTTAAAGAAAATTCAGATTTTACATAGTAAAAAACTGTAAATTATAGTGTCCGTCCAAAAATTATTTTTTACAGATAGTGAAAACTACCCTTGGATGATGGTTAGTAGACTAAAAGCTTTAGGAATCCAAAGTACAACATATAATAAGTACCCTGTATCAAGATTGATGCAAAACAAGTGAAATTTGACCTTTTTAGAGAGATTTAGCCAAAAACTGGGCCATCTGGGGTCATTTGGGTGGATTTGACCTATCTCTGGCCCCCCTTGCTCGATCTGGTTGGTTGACATACCCTTGTGACCGTTAGAGCCAATAGAATCGAAGGAGGAGGCTCCCACCCAGACACGTTGTAAAGAAAAAATGTTGCCGCTTCGCGTGTGGAAAGCGAAACTAAACTGGAGGAATGTCTCCTTCTGGAGTTTGGAAACTAAAACGCAGTTGTATTGCTTATGGATTATCAGAAATAATTTCAAAGAAGGCACAGACACATAGGGTGAACCTATGGATTAACTGCAGCATCGTTTTTTTTATCGTTTTTAATGCCATTGAAGACCACTTTTGACCAAGGTAAGCCATATTTACATGTTTAGCTTCTTGGCTCCACATGTGATGATGTACGCTTTCGTTGATAGCGTCGCGAATGTTTATCACTGAGTGTTGAGGTGGGCACCGTTAGATTCAGTGTCTCCAGGACACCAAAAAATAGTGTTTGGTTGTGCATCTAGGATAAGTAATAAGGGAGTTCTGAATGAGTTTATGTGCCTTTGTCGGTCCCGTTTTTTTCGATCGAGGCTAATTCAGAGGCTGAGTGCTAGCATTGTGGGGTTTTTTTTGAAAAAAAAAATTAAAAAGATCAGTTAGCTGAGTTTCTTCCCGTTACATGGATATAACACATTCATAGTTTTATTCAATATTAAGATTCCTTAGACGTTGTTTCCTGCAAATGACGCGTTTATCCGCCCGGTACCGGGGGGAAGGCGTGAAACAGGTTAACAGCTAACCTGGTTTGGAAAATGTGCTAAAATGACTTTGGTAAGTTGAGAAGAATGAGATGATATGCTTCACAAGTGAGACAGGAAGTGCACTTTTGAATCTTGATTCTATGATAGCCAATCAGATGCATGGTACACTCTGACACACACAATCATGGTCATGTGACTTCAACATTTGTACTCACTGAAATACCCAAAAGTTTCCTAACAAGAGACAATATCAAGATGTTGCTGTTATGGGTAACACTGCTTTTTCTTCATCAAGGATGTAAGAGCAAGTATTCAGTAAAAATGTGCATGCCTACTATTGGGGTTAACTTTTGTGTTCTTGCATGATGTATGTACTGTTTCACGTGTTGTATTTTGTCATTTATTTCAGATACGCTGGTTCCAGTGACTACAGTTCCTCTTGGTGAATCTGTGACCTTCACGTGTGCTCTGCCTACTATTGAGTTTAGCAGTAGAAAGCTTTACTGGTTCAAGCAAAATGCTGGAGAGACTCTGACATTAATTGTGACACTGCTCAGATCTACAAAACCTGAGTTTGCACCAGAGTTTTCTGACTCAAGATTGGAGGTAAAAGCGATAACAATTTAAGCAACCTGACAATTCGGAGGACAATCCCAGAAGATGAAGGAATGTATCACTGCTCAATCACAGAGCGTTATGGACATCCTGAATGGAGTGGGACATATTTGTTACTAAAAGGTAAATTTGATCTACTTCATTAGAACGAGTTTTGTAAATGCTTCAGGTCGGATCCAAACCTACACTTTGGTAATGTTTAAGTAAAGTAACATTTCAATGATCTGTTGCATTTTAACACACATTTAAATACAAATTCAGTTAGACATACAATTAAGATGAAATTATTTTATTTATTTTCAGATATTTGTATTTACTTTGGATGTTGATTTATTTACCAGCTGTGTTATATATCTTTGAGAACATTACAGTGTTAACCACTCAACACTAAAAGTGCTGCCAATTCTGCCATGCACTATATCTTTAAATATATGGTTAAAACTTGGTAATTACGTTATATGCTCTGCTTTATCTTTATTGAAGCTCTAATCGATATTTAAACAATCTAATTTCACTTTGAGGGAATCTCTACTAATAAAGCATCTCCACATTTGCTAAATATCAGCAGATTCATGTTAATACTTTTACAAATGTCAGATAAAATAGGATCCATTTTTTTAAACAGTTTTGTATTTTTCAGGAAACACTCGGAGGACTTCAAACTATTCTGTTCAGTGGCCGACATTATCTGATCCAGCTCCTCCAGGAAACTCGATGACCCTTCAGTGTTCGGTCCTCTCTAAATCTGAGAATAAAACATGTCCAGGAGACCTCAATGTGTTCTGGTTCAGAGCCGGTTCAGATAAATCTCGTCCGAGCATCATCTACACTGATGGAAGAAGACAAGAGGAATGTGAGAAGTTACCGGACACTCAGAAGAGTTGCTTCTCAAAGAACTTCAGCTCCTCTGATGCCGGGACTTACTACTGTGCTGTGGCCTCATGTGGAGAGATATTATTTGGAGATGTAACAAAACTGAAAATTGGTATGTTATACCGATGTATTTTGTTTAATATGGAGGTTAATGTCTACGAACCAATGAACCACATCATTAATGTGTTTAATGTTTTTGCTGTCTAGAGCGAAATGCAAGCTCTGAAGTTATAGCGCTGGCGATAGCAATACTCTGCTTGGCCGTTTCTATCATTGGAAACATTACTTTATTCTGCCGCCGGACTTCAAGAGCAGGTTGTTCACGATGTAAAGGTACGTTTTGTTGATTTAGTCAAAAATGTAATTTAATACGCCGATTATTTTATTATTATATGAATTTATCAGCAAACATCTGCAGCACGATTCTCCATATTGGTTGCTCCATTTATGTTAAATATGCTTAACCCCCATAATGCATTGTAGATAATATGAAGTTATGCCATTTGATGGGGATCTTTATTGAAAACTCAGTTTAAATTCATAATATTAATGTTTTCTTTTCATATTTAGGAAATTAAAACGTCGCTTTGCATTCGAGACATGACAACGCAAGCCAACCTGTGCATGATATTGTAAGTAATCATACGACATTCTTTCTTTTTTGGTTATTTTGATTAACATAATTCTCATCATACATGGCTTCTTACTAAAGAGGTAAATCCTTTGACAATTAATATTGGTTTAACATCATTTTAAAAAGCTAGTCAACTTGCTGTGTTTGGATATCAGGACTGTGTCTATGGCAACAGATTTTTACTCTTAGCAGCAGTCCGCTACAAATAAATAATAGACCATTATAATTCTGTAATCAAACAATCATTATCAACAAAGCTGTCTTTTAATAATGGAGATTGTATTTGCTGCACAGACTGAAGGTGGACATGATCTGAACTATTCTGCGTTGCATTTCTCTGGAAGGAAGGCTACAAGAGGAGGAAAGAAGAGAGAGATGGAGACTGAAGAAAGTGTGTACTCTCAAGTTAAATGCTGAATGTGAGTCTATGTAAATTGGTTGATAATATTGACCTCTGACAAAGATTTACACTAAATTAGGATTAATGCTAAAAGCCAAAATAGCAGCAAACAGATATTCTCTTTTATTCGATGTTCCACCAATATTTGATTACATGTGTTTGTATGTGTCGTCTTTTATCTTAAAATACTAACTAAGTGTGTTTTTCATTAAAGAAAATGTTAAAAATCATGGGGGGAATGATTTTGTTATGATTTATTTAGGGCCATCAGACATAACCGTTTCAAGATGTTCTCCTCTGCCATTTTGTATACATTATGAATGTTCAAATCTGTTTACTTCTTCCATGACCGTCATCTACTTACTGTCTCGGCCAATGCTCTGTAAAAACATCTAACCGCAATTGGGAGTTGTGTTGATTTCTTGCTTCCTTTTTTAAATGATTTTTTTATAATACTAAGCTGAAGAAACCTAATCAGTCTTTGTCTTTCTTTTGGCATATTTAACCCATTTCGACATGTCAACATTTCATAACTGTTTTACCTTATACCAAGGGACTTGTTAATGATGTGATTTTTGGAGTTTCAAAACTACATTCAAGTGTGCTCTGCCTTATACTGTGTTTATCAATAGACAGATCTACTGGTTCAAGCAAAATGCTGGAGAGACTCTGACATTAATTGTGACACTGCTCGGATCTACAAAACCTGAGTTTGCACCAGAGTTTTCTTACTCAAGATTGGAGGTAAAAAGCTATAACAATTTAAGCACCCTGACGATTCGGAGGACAATCCCAGAAGATGAAGGAATGTATCACTGCTTAATCACAGTGCGTTATAGCAATCCTGAATGAAGTGGGAAATATTTGTTACTAAAAGGTAAATGTGATCTACTTCATTAGAATTCGTTTTTTAAATGCTTCATGTCGGATCCAAAGCTGCACTTTGGTCATGTTTAAGTAAAGTATCATTTAAATTATCTGTTGGATATTAATACAAATTTAAATACAAATTCATACAATTAAGATTAAATTATTCTATTTGTTTTCAGATAAATGGTAAAGTATATTCATTTCAATGACTTAATTTGCTACATTGTAAAATCCTTAAAAGCAATTACTTTATTCTTAATTTTTTTCCATCACACAGATCATAAAGACCTGAAGAAATCTATCTACGTGAAACAAAGTCCGGAGACTGAGTTGGTCTTGCCCGGCGACTCAGTGGCTCTCCAGTGTTCACTCCTCTCCAAAAACAAAGAAAACGCGGATCAGTGTCAAGGCGAACACAATGTTTCCTGGTTCAGATCTGGATCAGGAGAATCCCAACCAAGCATCCTTTACACTCACAGTGAGGAACAAAAGGAACGCAGTTGTGTCTTTAGTCTGTCCAAAACTATACACAACTCCACTGATACCGGGACGTATTACTGTGCTGTGGCTACATGTGGACAGATCCTGTTTGGAGAAGGAACTACAGTGGAGACAAGTAGGTTTTGAAGTGTTGTTTCAATTATATTTATATGTTAATGTATATTAATATTAAGTCTTTACATTTGTTTGTTCAGGGGGGTGACCAAGAGTGGGAGCTACAACTACATTTAACAATTATTTAATTGAGACATTGATTCGAACTCCTTTCAACGTATAATGTAAACATATTGAAAGTTATTCATTCATAATAATTACTTCAGAATGTTTTATTTCCTGCCTGTTACTGTGGCTTACTACTGTGCTGTGGTCACATGTGGAGAAATATTAATTGAAAATGAAACAAAAATGAACATTTAAGGTGAAAGTATCGTTATCTGTTTTAACTAGTTTTCTCCCTTTTATGGCTGCTTTTGAGGTCAGGAAAAAATAAATTAACAGTGACAGAGTAATTATTAGATACAAGACTGTTTTTGTCAATGTACCATCCCATCTTTTAAAATTATTCTAGTCAATATCTGTTGATATTTGATTGTAGGAATAAAATGAACATGTGCGGGTTCAAACATCGATTGCTGTATATATCATAGGTTAGGTTATGAGCAATCCAAGTGGTTTAACGCACGTTTGTTTCAGTGTTTGATAGGGACGTTTGCATATAACGTGTTGATTAGACGTCAAATTCAAATTACATTTAAATCAAATCTAGAGCGATTGTAAGGAAAATAATGACAGTAAATTAAAATCTTCTTTGGTGGTGGTACATTTTATTTTACTCTAACTAAATGTTACTGCATTTTCCTTTTCATGTTTCAGGAACCGGCTTACGGTCTTTTGGTGATTTACAGACTGGCGATGTATTTCTGCTTCTGCCGTCTGTGGTCTCGGCCATTAGTGTGATTGTTATAGCCATCCTTATTCACGCCATCAAGAGAAACAAGTGTGATTATTGCCATAATAAAGGTAATAGACGTTACCTCACTGAATAACAGATTATTTAGATGATACTAATATCATTGTTTTTACAAACTAGGTCTTCCTTATTTGTTTTTATCTTGTTTACATATTGTAGCTGCTGTGTCCCTGCAAGAAAATGTTGCAAAAAGGAATGTAAAGGTAAGATCAACATTGCAAAAGGCTTATGATGCAACTCGATCAGGTTTGTCATCACAAATAATTTGTAATATATTTCCTTAGAGAAATGAAGACCCGTGGATTTATTCTACTGTCGTCTTCACCGTGATGGAAACTGGCCCCGGGGTCTACACGGCTGCCAAGGCTTTTTGATCTGAGTCAAATGTGGAGTCAGCGATTCTCAAGAAAGATTGTTGATATTTGATCTTAAAACAAATACCCCCTTCGTATTTACCCTGCCTCTTGCTCCCACTGCCTTTCTCTTTACACATCCATGGCCCTCCTTTCCCCTGTCCTCTGCAGAGACATAAACGCCCTGATGCTGATTGGCTGGATCAAACCAGCTCTTCTTTTAGCATAGACACATATTGCAGTCAGCTAGCGGAGTGTAAGTAGATATTTGCTAGTAGTATATTGGATTTAAATCTTAGACGGCACCTTTTAACTGAACTGTATTAGATGTCTTTGTACCAAATGTGATATAATGTTAATGTGTTTAAGTTTAAAGCTGTTATAACATGTTGGGATTAGCTTGCATTATTCATACAATGTTAGTTTGATGTTTTTTTTTCTTATTATGCTTAAGTGATATTGAATGAGTTTAAATAAAAAATACATTTAGTTCCATTTCTGTATGTTGAACTTTTTTGCCATCTACTGTATACTGTCGTCACACTGATTCTATGCCGCCATACACCCTTTGTCTTTATCAACTTGGTAGAACAAAGCAGGAAGACTCTATTTCCTCTATTTATAATCTATTTTCTGCTCATCTCCGTACCATACACCAGGGGGCATTAAAAGGTCTTGTTTTTTTGTCTTTTAAAGCAAATTTAGCTTCATTACTGTATTTTTGGTGAAAAGCAGTCATTTGGATTGTTTTCTGTTTTCATGTTTCTTCTTCTTCTGTTATTACAAAACTAGTACAATTACAGCAAACATATTTATTTTTCTTAAAATATGTGTGCCATATATCTAAATGTACATACAACAATCATTTTTTGAAAATGATATGTAGTTCATGCAAAGTTCAACCCGTTTTATCCGTCAAAGAACTAAAAGTAACCAGTCATTTTTGTCAATAAATCAATATTAGCAAACCTTTTTACTTTCATATATTTTACACAGTAATGTTCCAAACTGTTCCCAGTCACTGCATTTGCTGCTGGGTGATGATTATTCAGGGGACACATTTTCAATCATTTCCATCTACAAGAACAATGCAGAGTAATACAATTAATGGCTTATCTTAGATGCAGCCTTGGTTTTTTGATGAACATTGGTTAACCACATATTCTCTCCGGGTGTTTGAAAAGTTTATTACATTACATGTTACTTGTTACTTGTTAGACGCTTTTATCCAAAGCGACTTACATACTCAATACTGTGGACAATCCCCACAGGAGCAATTTGGAGTGAAGTGTCTTGCCCAGGGACACAACGACATGCTGACTGCAGTGGGGTTTGAACCTGGGACCCCCTGATCCGAACACCAAGGCTCTATCAACTTGAGCCATTCTCAGTCGCCTCCTCATGCCTCTGCAACAAGCAGTGTTCTTTCGTGCTTTTCACATCAACAACTAGCTCTTTGAAAGCAAAATATAAAGCAAAGTAATTAACAGCACAACATTTGTTAAAAACATGCAAAGCTGAGCTAAGCCAAAGCTCATACGGGCGCGTGGTGCTGTGTGTGGTTTGCTCTCACAGCGGAGTACACACACTCCTGTGGTAACTCTTGCTTTTGCTTCACTTTTTTCACTTTTCTTGTGGAGTAATTCAGTGCTGCATAGTTTACCGCCTCTTCGTCTCCATCCTGCAAATCATATAGTCTATTAAACATACATTCCTTAAATATTAGGCCTGTAAAATGAAAAACACTTAATCCAAACCAAGTCTAGTGTTTGAATGTTTGAGTCTAAAGTCAGAAAAATGTACAAGGATGCTTTTTGCCTCCATATTCGGTGCTTATTTTCAAAGTTACAAACATATTTACCAGGTCAGTTGATTCATCCACTGCCACCTCGTTGGTTTTAGGATTACGGATGGTACACGTTGCTACTGCAGAAAAAGTTAAATAATGTTAGATGGGGTTGAATTGTTCGAGCTCGGCCGGAGCACACACACACACCCGCAGCCTGGCTGTGGGTCTGTGTGTGTGCTCGGATCGGGCCCGGGTCGGGCCTCGCCGTGTCGGGCCTCGCCGTGTCCCGCTATCTCAGGCTGAGTCCAGGCTGAGAAATCCGCAGAGCTGCAGCTGAGAAAAATAAGGCTGGCTGAGTGTGTGTGTGTGAGGAGCTCCGCGGACCAATTGGTCCATTTGGATCGTCGTTACGTCAATTGGTTCCCGGAAGAAAAAAATGGAAAAAGAAAATCTCCAACGAGGCGTTCTGGGGCAGCATAGACACGTCTTTTCTGTGTTAGAGTTTTACTCACTACAGGGTGTACTTTGAGGGTGTGTGCTTTGCAGACCGTTTACATGCATAAAAATCTACGGGGAACGGGTAATAACCGGAAAAGCATGACATGGGACCTTTAACAGAAATGTGTTTCCCCATGTTCACCTCCGGCATATTTAACAGTACAGTAGTTTGAAGTGCTCATATTCGACTCTGGAATACATATCATATATATCCAATGTCAGACATGTATTTTTTTGCCAACCCTACATCTAAAAGCTTTTGCAATAGTCTTATATTAAATAACATGTTGCCTTACAACATGAAGTCCAAAGTTTCATCATTTGTGGAGTTTTGACTTTCTCCTCCATTCAGAAAGCCTTTTTATCAGGTTAATGTTTTTTTCCCAAAAGGCAGACGTTAAAGTTGTTTGGTCCATTGCTAAAAGGCATCGACATAAAGTACATGTGAAAGACTATAAACAAACACACAAGGGCCACTTAAGGGTAGTAACTTCATAAAACTAAAGAATTTGAACCACAACAGCACTCAATGAATGTATAGGACCAGATCATGTCTCATGCAACTTGTAATGTATTTGACCTGCTCTTATCACGGAGTAAGAAACTACTCCCGTGCAGCAGTAGGGAAAGCAGCGGACAAAAGGTTTTTGGTCTAATGACTTAAACAAATGTCTGTGAATGAAAAGGAGAAGAAAACCTCTTCTGTTATGACTTTGTCTTGGTTATTAACAGTATCAAAGGCCATTTAGAACTTGAATTGTACAGTATGTGTCTGTAATCAATGGAAACATTGAATTTCAATGTTCTCGTAAGAGACTTAGTACTATGAACCAGGGTTTCTGTTAGCCGGTAATTACCGGTTTTTAGCTGGTAAAATGTAATAAAAACCGGTAAATTCAAAACCTGCCGGTCAAAATGTCCGGTAATAATTAGGGATGCTCCTATCGATTGGCCGCCGATCATTATCGGCCGATATTCACTCTTAATAGTTTGATCTGTGCTCTCTATAAAGGCCGATCAGGAGAGCTGGATCTGATCGATATGGACATAAACGCGAGTGAAGTGTAACCGGACGCGAGAGAGAGATCAGATCAGCTGCTGCATAATCACCTGAAGCCCCGCCCACTGTTTAGCGTGTCAGGAGAGAGAGGGAGAGAGGAAAAGAGAGGATCCGTTTCTCCCGTGTTATTATTAAAAGTGAATGTAACTTTTGAATAATGTACTTCATCTACTACAGTAGTTTGTTTGAATGTAATAATGATGTTGTTTGTTGTTTGTGGAATCATTTATTGAAAAATGAATTTTTCGATCTGTTAAGATCAGGGGCGTCGCCTGGACCTGAAAACATTCGGGGCTTAGCCCACAGTGGCGGCGGCACTACAGTGGCATTTTTTACTGCAACACTCCCCACACGCACACACACAATACACCCGCGACTGTTACAATGAAGGCTCGATAATCAGCTCACGGCATATAGGCAGGGGTAAAGTGGTTTTTTTATGAGTGGGGGGCGGACCTCACCTCCTCTAGGGGGGTCCGGGGGGATGCTCCCCCGGGAAGATTTTTTTTTAATATTGAAGTTAAATGCATCAATCTGGTGCACTTTGAGAGCAAAATTAAGAGATCTATGGATACCTCTCTCAACACCCATATGAAGCGGAACTGTAAACAGATGTACTTTTTCTTTATGGATATTTTACTAATCACTCCCCTTTTAAACTCTATTCTTGTTTTACTGCCATATAGTATTTCATAACTGTTTTTCCTTTATTCTCTTATTTGTTTTATAACTATAATGATCATATGAAGGTGTGCCGCGGAAATAATCTTTTGAATAATTTGTGACCAAACCGTTTGAGACCCACTGAGATAACTTAGACTAAAGTTAACTATCTAAACACTCAGAGAGTCCTTTAGCTCACCTGAGTCTCTCAGTCTGAGAGGAGAGGACTCTCCTCCAGCTTGTTGTGGAACAAACAGCTCCTTATGTCCGTTAGTGCAGCTAGCTAACCAGATGCTAACAACACGGTCCCTGCTGGCACCGGTCCCTCCCTCCCTCTCTCTCTCTCTATCACACTAAATGCGCTATTGCCACACACACACAGAGCCGAGCTTGAATGACACAAGCACACGTTTATTTCCATGCAACTCTCTGATTGGTCTGGTGTCATGCCTCGGTTGCATTCACTGAACACGGGAAATTACAGTGCTGCCGTCCTCTCGTGTCATGATGAGGTTCACGTAAAGCACGGTTAATGTATTATATTATTGAGGGAGAATTGTCCGGGGCTACAGAAAAAACATTCGGGGCGAAAGCCCCGGATGCCCAGGCCAGGCGACGCCACTGGTTAAGATTATAAACTGAAGCAATATAAAAATGAATCCCATTAACTGAGTTTTAAACATCAGCATATCCGGTCATAGTCTGGTAATTACCTGCTAACGGAAACTCTGCTACACAATTCTTATTATTATTATTGAAACATGACCGGTAAGTTTCAAATTCAAAATAAATTCTGTCCGGACATTTGACCGGCGAGAAAAAATCCTAGCGGAAACCCTGCTATGAACGAAGCGCAGAGCAGATTGTCTCTTGCAATCGTTACTGAAAGTTACGTGGTTTAATATAAAATACATCAAACGAGAAAGTCCAATAAGGGTGGGACGGTTGTTGGATCGCTCAAAATAAGCACAGGACTTTGACGTAGGAGACCTCTTTTTGTTTCCTAAGTGAAACCAAAACCCAACATTCACTTTATGAATGTTACAAAAGGAAGTCCGCTACGGGCTGTTGCTGTTGATTAATGCTAGTTGCGCGAATTACGTTGTTTTGGCTGTTATGTTATATTGCCACGTTATGATTTTAACACAAATCTTTATTTGTATTCTAACCATAAATATATATCAATCATCAGTTAAAAGATAACTATCCTTCAACTGGATGACAGATTTGTTGCCCTGAGTCCCTCACCGCAGACTTGGATGAAGCACAAAATCCATGCATTGTTTATCTAAGGTGGCTAACCCGTAATTCACAGGCATACTGTGTATGTTGTAGTAGTTGAGTGAAGATACAGTCAATCAATATTAGGGGACACTATAAATATCAAGTTTTATTATGTCAACAAAAAAACAGAAGCAAACAGTTCCACAGACATGTCGACCTAGATGACACCTTACAGTAATGCTGGCACACTTCCTGTATCAACACATTCAGAAAGCAACACGAATCTCTGACTATAGAGAGGGGTGTGGCTGGTTGTAGTGATCTGATCTAACAACAGAGTACATACAATCTTTTGGCATTTCTCTCTCCTTTCTCCTTCCTCTTTTCACTTTCCTTGTTGAGAAATCCACTGATGCATAAGTCACTGCCTTCGCTTCTTCATCCTGCAAAATTAAAAACAAAATGTGCGTCAATGACAAACCTTTTGTCGATTAGGTGACATTAACATATAGACCATATCTAGAGTATAGACTGCTTTCCAGTGATCTTTACACACTTTCTTTTGTCTAATTTTCAGCCATCATTAATTATATTTATACCTTATACCTTATACCTAACTTTGTCACTCTTTATCAGGCTACATTACATTTAGCTACTTATCAGTTGGTTTATTATACTGTTGTTTTGATTATAATCTGTGTCTTGATCAAATAAAAAGCACACCACCACATATTTACCATGTCATTTGATTGACCCCCAGTTGACATGTCCGGTCCAAGATGATGGGAAGCGCTCACTGCTCTTGTTTGAATGTAAAACAGGGTTTCAGAGTATACACACATGATTATTGTCACCCTCACATTGGAGGAAACTGAGGAACAAACATATTCATATTTTCAGTTGTTTCCTCTATAGTTATGCACATTGACTTTTTATAATGTGCTCAATTAACCGTCAGTGTTGTTGTGATTAATCTGATTAACTCCTTCAGATATTTAAGCAGTAAGGGATAAAGTTATTTGTTCGAGGCTACCTGGATAATATGTACTTCTGGGATCAGATGTTCAATAATTCATGTTGCAATAGTATATTCTGTATTACACACAATAAAATATAATAATATATCCTTTTGCATTCAACACAATAGATGAAGTGACCTCAGGTTTACAATTATGTAACACTATGACACAAAAAAACAACAAAGAGCTCTGGAGTGTATATTATTGACTCAGTAGTAGTGGCCATGGTGGTTTTACACAAGTAAAGGTATTTCACTATTAGAACCGTCATCTCATTTATTGAATAGAAACACACATGTACACTATGTTGAGCCAAAAATTGGATATTGATGGATTTTCCATAATTTCATCATTTATTAGAGCCAATTTAACGTCTTGTGAAAACTCCCATCCTTACAATCATTGTCTGTTTTCACAGCCAAGCAATTTTTTCAAGATTATTAGATCGTTATGGTTCCACCTAAAAAAGTATAACTGAAACTAAAGTATAATATGCTGAGCCTACCTTTGCAATTTTTGCAAGACTTCCTTCGGTATCCATAGGAAATAAGAAAGGCAATCACAGTCACACAGCAGGCCAACAGCACTCCAAGCACAAGGACAACTGGGACAACTTCTGAATCTCCTAAATAAGGAAACCAATAAAGTCTTACTTTTTAGACGTACACCGCAACAAAATATCAGTATATTTTTAATTTGAAATCTGAGAAAAGTAATTCTTACGAAGGGATGAGTTTCAAAGGAGGTTCATTCATCAGTTATAATTCATGTCTCAATAAAATAATTGCTAAGTGTAGTTGTTGTTAATGACTTTATCCACTCTAACTTATCCACTTAATATTTATATACATATAAATACAAAATTAAAATGTAATTTAAATAGACTTTAAAACATACTTGTCTCCACTGTAGTTCCTTCTCCAAACAGGATCTGTCCACATGTAGCCACAGCACAGTAATACGTCCCGTTATCAGAGGAGTTGTGTATAATTTTGGACAGACTGAAGACACAACTGCGTTCCTTTTGTTCCTCACTGTGAGTGTAAATTATGCTTGGATGAGATTCTCCTGATCCAGATCTGAACCAGGAAACATTGTGTTCACCTGGACACTGATCTGCGCTTTCGTTGTTTTTGGAGATAAGTGAACACTCCAGAGTCACTGTGTCGCCGGGCTGGACTGACTTGGTCTTTGGACTTTGCTTCACGTAGACAGATTTCCGCTGATCTGCGTGATTCAGTAAAAGAAAACATAACATTTAATGACATGAGGCTTGACACAAAAACTGAAAGTAATAGATATTTACCTTTCACAGCTAAGAAGATGCCAATGCCAAAACTCTGTGAATACGTTGATCCAGTGAGACAGAAATATGTTGCTTCGTCCTCTTTTCTGACATTTCTGATTGTGAAAAGATAATGAGTATCCTCTTTTGTTGCTTTGAACCGTGTGTCTATAAAAAGGTTCAGTAACTGTTAGTTTGCCAAGAATCAAGTTAAATACTGGCTGGGCCATTTGTCCAAGAGACTGCTTGTACAGAGAAAGTAGTTTGCCTGCCTGGACAAGAACTGGACATTGAAAAGTAAAATTTCCACCAACTTCTACCACAGCCAAAGAGATCAGGTGAGGATCCTCTGCCGATTCAATCAGAGCTAAAGAAAAAATACAAAGAAAAGGTTTATTGGAGGAGATCATCTTTTAGATCATCAAATGGTATTGTCTTTCATACAGGAGTAAAGAATTGCACTTACACATCGTACAAAGAAGAATCAAAGCAGAATCGTCTCACACGACTGATGTCTTTCCAACCAAATGAAGGTTTGTTCACAAGAAGATCAACGTCTACAAAGTAACAATTGTTGTGATTGGCTGAAATGTATAAAATGACCTCCCCCCTACATTTAAAACCTGTGGACCATTTTCTTTCGATCAGAAATCTCTATGTTCTGAGATTTTCTTTTTTCAAAGAAGCCCCTTTATTTAGACAATAAAATATTGTTTCCGTTTTTGGTGCTTGGCTAAGAAGTACAGGACCTATTTAAAAAGCAAAACCCTGTTGACACATTTTACGAATGTGGTTTTAATCATACCATCATGAGAACCAAAAAACACACACAGAGACGTTATTTCAGTGTCACTCTATTCAACAGACCAATGGCTGTGGTTATTAGTTTAACACACCAGGAAAGCAATGTGGGAACATGACGACTGCTAGCTAGCAAATACATCTGTTTTTATCAAGTACATTGCAGATTCCATATGGTCACAGAAAACTAATTTTGTAGTTTAATAAGATGTTTGGTTTACATACTGGATATACTTACTGAGCAACAGCAGTGAGTTGGATGGCTCCACACACCAAAGACATTGTTGGAGTTGCTCAATGCTGTATTGTTCACTCTATGTAGGCTAGCTGTTTTGTTCCATAACATTACAATAGGCACAGTGTAGGTGGTAGAAAGCTGTAGGGGAGAGGTGAGAGGAAATATCACCTACACCAAGAGATGTGAAGAACTTAAAGGTTAAAGTATGTGTTGAGATAGTGCTCTCTGTAAGGTAGAGCATTGTCCTTTTTTCAAGTTGAACAATATTGTAGAGTATCACAGATGTTTTGTTTTTAAACACCAAAAACTCCCTTGCTTTATTGGCAGTGAACTCCAAAGCATGCCTTCATGTATTTTAGATTTGAGTACTGAACGTTTTTCCTTATTTGCCATAACATGATTTTGTTCATCCTGTATTTCTGTGAACTTTATAGTCCTACAACCAGTCTTGACCATTTGTGATTCTCTAACATTCCCAAATAGATCAGGTTTTAACCCTAACAATTACTTTTTAACAAGAGACATGTCAATGCATTATAGCAGGAAAAGCAAAAGTAAAACCAGTAACATAAGGGACTAGGCCATGCCATTTTTTATTGCAAATAACCATGTTATCGTTACACCTGTGGAACATTTCCACTGAGAAATAAGTGGTGTATAATATTTTACACAGCATACATGTTATCTTTCATTTTTGCAAAGTGCTTTTAAGAGGGAGAGACCGAAGCATGGCTGACAAAACACATGGGAATATTTTGTGATTCACACACAATTGATATTTATTTGCAAAAGACAATGATTGTTGTTCTAAATACAAAATAGAAAGTCAGAAGTCAACTACTTAATAGAATTGAGCACTCCATCTTTCAGATCTCACATCCCTTTGTAAAGACCTTGTGCTTCAGAACAAGGAGCAAAGCCACATGCAACAGCTACACTGAGAGTCATGCGTTGTGGTGGGCCATCTCTCCGCCCTTTGACCAAGCATCAAGGCTGTTACTCAGAACTATGGGCTTCAACAGGATGTGAAGTGAAGTGAGAGCTACATGAGACTTCAGCAGGCTTCATCATTGTTTTAGTTTTACACATGCTCATTTAAAGTAAAAACATGTCTATCTCAAGATTATTTCTAAAGCATCTATCTAATTTACAATCTAACTGTATTGTTTCATTAAACATTCAATTAGACAGGCTGCAATTATATCACCATGTTAGATCACGGTTCAAATTCCTGCTCTGACTGAAAGACGGCGGTTGGACCAGGAAATGATGGGCACCTCCCCTGACTAACTGCAACTACAGATAAAAGGCAATAACTTGCACTAAGGTTAAATTAAAAAGGATCATCACAGAGTGTGACTAGTGGTATTCCACTTGCCATTTGAAACAAAAATAAGTAAATCAGCAGTGCAAGCCCAGCTTCCTGATGTTTATAGAAAGAGAAAGGTACAAGCGCCCCTTTGTATTCAACCTCAGTGTGAAGCCCAACCACAGCCGCGCTGAAGTTTCCATGCGTCATCTGGTTGTCAGTGTGAATGCATTTATATCTGACTGTTTGTGTGAAAGTACAAGGCATGTTATGGCTTGTTGTCAATGTCAACAACTGTTGACCCTGAAGAAAGTCACAAACCACAACCTGCTGCTCTGACAAATGTTCTGGAAATGTTGGCCATATAGATAGATAAGCTATTTATATTTCTAATTATATACTCTATACACCTTTTGAGTTGTCAAGAAACCCTAAATCTTTATTTTTTGTAAAAATGATGTGTGGGGAGTTTTACTGGACTGCATTATCTTGATAGGTGTTCCTTTAATAAGTGTCAGTAGTGTAAGAGTGCACAGACACTATAGCGGTACAGGATTGTTTTATGTTAAGCGCCTTGTAAATAGTCGGTTTAATTTATCTGTTTTGTTTCCTTGGTTTACATTGGTCTTCTCTTCCCGGGGAAAAAATATACAGGAGAGAAACTTTAAATCGTCTCAGGACAAATGTGTTCCTTTGATACTCTGAGAGTGTCGCTCTGCTTCTTGCTCTCTAAAGCTCTCTGAAAGGAAGTGTATTGTTGAGGACGGATGTTTTAACAGCCCATCTCTGTGCTGTGCTCTTCCTGCTGAAGTGACTGACAGGCAGAGGGGGTGTTCATCATTTATGACGTGGAGCATCCAATTGGCTGGTATGCACAGTATTTAAGATGGTTCCTCTGTCCTTATCAATGTGGCAAACGGCAGCTTATATTTTCTATGTCTACACAAATCAAAAAGATAAATGCAAGTTTAAATGAATGGCAACAACAATGTGGTCCTAGAGACACAGGCCTATACATTTTTGGATGCATTACAAATTATGCATTTATATTGAAATGTTAATGGTATTAGTACCTTTTTTTATAATGAGTATTCAGCTATTCTAAAAAAATATATGTTTTTGATTAATCATTTTACTATCACTAAAATATGGCAGTTAGCAAATGAGAACGGTTTTGATCACTTCCAAGAATCCCTTTCAGGAATCCAGACACACTTTAAACATGTTGCTACGTCCTTGGAATCTTCTAATCCCAATTCTGAAAGTGTAAGAGTTAATCATTTGTTACAGAGCGCAGGATCACAGGAAGTTTCAATTCCTTTAGTGTGTATGCTTACACATTTATCAAATAAGTGGCAGTTCTTAAACTGGTCTACTTTGGATACATTCATAATGGACTTTTCTGCATTGTTTCACTACATCCATCAAACACATTTGTTACAGGAGCAACCATTACAAACTGGAGGGATCAAGTTTAAAATACCTAGGCATATTATATCAGGAAACTTATTTAAAAAATGTTGCGTAGTAGGAGATGTAGGAGTGTTTTTCAAAGTTGCTTAAACTTTGAACATCCTTTTAAAAAATCTGGAACTCCCCAAACTGTTTGGTACTATAATACAAAAGAATGGAGCAACCTTTACCTGCAAATGTATCTTCCTTTATTAGCCAGCATACAAATCATTGCTTCCACATTTCTGTGACCAGGAAATTTGCTTTAAGCGTGTTCTTTTTAGCAATGAATCATGTCAAAACCTAACTGCTGGTGCTGTAATGTGTAATGGGGATTGCCCACAGTATTGAGTGTATGTAAGTCGCTTTGGGTAAAAGCGTGACATGTAATAATGTAATGTAATGAACCAGAAAACGCTGATCATATTTTAAACAGCTTTCTTTTTTACAATTGGCGGAATTATGCACATATTATTATAATTATGTTAATGTTGTTCTCTTCTTAAATTAATCCTGTAACACAATTGCTCGATGGTCAAAAGTAAAAACTATGGTATAGGTCAAACACATTTAATCAGCTTCAAAAGGTATTTGTTTGCTTAGCTCCTCAGACAGCCTATGTTTGCCACTCTTGTGTATATCATACTGGACAGTGGCAATATTGCACCCCATCAAAAAAGTCCATCTGGACATGAAAAGAAAATCAAGATTGTTTTTCGATTCATATGCTGTGTGTGTTTACGCTCTGTGCAGTTAAAGGAAAACAAACATGAAACATAAAAACAGAAGCTTGCTTTTGCTCTTGTTTCATGTGTTTAGGTTGAAACAAAGGTTGATATCATTTCCACTGTGGTGGTACAATGAAATAAGGAAAGGCCAATCAGGGTACTCTAAAATTGTAACCTCCCACTTCATATGATTACATTAAGGCAAATCTACTCAAATACGATTTAATTTACCGGCAGCCACAAGTGGATTGACCAGAAAATGCTGATCATAGTTTATTTACTGCTGATGCTTGGAGTGGGGCGTAAGTATCTAGACTTGAGATACATTATATGAATTGTCATGTTCTGATAATGATTCAGCAGGGTGCTAATTATTCTTAATGTATCACAAATCAATCATCTGTGTTTATTATATTTTTCAGGATGCACACACGATCAGATCTTGGAGACAAAGACTGTTGGTGTTGGGAAAGATGTGACTTTGACTTGTTCACGCCAGCAATCCTTGACTACACACTGGATCAGGCATGGACCTGGAAACTTCCCTGAAGTCTTGGGAGGAACATTTTCTTTTGATTATAATGGTGTTGACAAGACTCCTCGCATTACAGCAAAACAAGGGCCTGGAACCTTTCTTCTGCAAATAAGTAAAACAGAGCCAAGCGATACTGGAGTTTACTACTGCCTAACAGTAAACCGCCTTGCCATGACATTTCTGAATGCGACATTTCTGAGAGTTAAAGGTAAATCATGTATACTGTTTATTTTTGTTAGTACTGTCTGCTACATAACATCATTGTATTTTACTACTTTCTTAATTTGAAATGTACTAAACCCCTTGTGTTTAATATGGTAGCTTACTATGTTTGTCTTTTATATCTACCCACACATTATAAATTACCTCAGAGGGAAATGCGTGAATGATTTCTGATTTCTGAAATG